GCTTATATCCCCCTTTCTCTCCTCTCTCTCTTCTCTCCTCTCTTCTCTCTCGCTTCCCTCTCTCCATTTCCCTTTCGCTCTCCCTCTCCCTCCCCCTCACTTTGTTCTGCCTCTGTATTCCTCTTCATAGGTTGTATCACTTTATTATTTATCCTTCAAGATTGTATTCAACATTGAGACTCCAAAGTAGAGACATACAATTATATAAATGGCAGACTTGATAATGTATGTATCAACCTAATAACAATTGATAGTACGTATCAATTTTTCTATTGATACATAAGACAGAAGCTTTAAAAAATCATTAATACAGTCCGATACATGTATAATTTGTTGGGATTGCATCTTATACATCTCTCCCTCATGATTTCATCTGATACATTTTGATAAATCTCTCTCTCAATTTTATAAAGACCATTGATATAGTCTTATGCAAGTTGATACATACAGTATGACATATATATATATATATATATATATATTGTATTTGATACATACATGGTGATACATAATGGTTAATACTAGTTGTATCTCTATTTTGAAATAGATGAAAGATGTTAGATGTCACGCCTCGAGGCTACCCCCTTGACGTAAACACGAGACCTAGGATCATGAGTGACCCCAAGATAACCCTGAAGCTGGCATATCATAAGCAAACTAAAAGATAACTAGATAAAAGATACTATGCGGAAGCTAAAACAATAGATAACTGAATGGTGGGGAATACCCAATACTGATCTGATTATACATAAAGTACTAACAGGTTAGTGATACTGAACAATCACTCAAAAACTAAAGTTGAATCTAATACTATGTTTGAAAAAGCCTCTAACAGACTAGAGTTGTTGGGACATGCCCCAGTAAATCCTAGCAAAACTGAAAACTGAAATGAAAGACTGAATTTGAAAAACATGTCTATTGTCCTCGAAGTGTGAGGACTCACCATTGAAGCTGATGAATACGGATTGGGAACTGATCTATGCGTGATTTGGATGTTGAGTACCTGAACCAACATCATGAAAGAATGTAGCGCAGAGTATGTGTTAGTACTTGGAATGTACTGAGCATTCAGGATATTGGATATAGCTTGACAAACATATAAACTGAACAACGTGTAATTGAGCAATGATATAACCGAATATGAATATAAATACTGCATTTTACTAAAAAGCAGAACTAAATGCAATGACCAAGTACTAAATCCTGAATATGACATGCTGATTGAATACCGAAGTATAAACTAAAATCCTGGTCAAATGCACTAAAGTCTGAGTGTGGGAGATACTAATAACCGACATAAAACCACGTGAGCTAAACTTGGAGTCCAATGTATACGCACCATCGAGAGGACCCAATATACTTTGTCAGGGGTATAAAGGCATGACTAGTGTGTTCACTAAATCTGATGCCCAATAGAGGGGACTTATAACCTACGGAGGCACGCAGTTCTAGGATTATGAGGGTACGTTGAACCCTAGTCCAATTTGGTGCTAAGCCTACCCTCAACTGGAATGTGTATGACACAACTTAATTGAAATACTGGATTAGCTCAACATTTTGGCATGCTAACTGAGAATGCAACATTTAAGTACTGATAATGAAACATTTGAAATGTGAGGCATGTATATATCTGTTTATGTGACCTAGCTAGTGTAATTCAAGAACTAAATGAATCTACACAACTAGGTTTCTGAGTTTCATGCAAGGAACTAAGCAATGATTCCATGAAAACATGATTATCTGATTAAGAATAATATAACAGAGAAATCAAAACCAATATCTAAGGTTTTAGAAACCCTAGGTCTAAGCAAGATATAATGAATCAAGAATCTGACTAAATTTTAGGGACCTAGTGGATGAATGGAACCCACTATTGAAATCCCACATACTTGGTGACGAAATCTATGGAGAAATCCTTCGATTTTGGGGCTGGAACTGAAGAAAACTTGTTGTGTTCTTGAAGAGGACACAGTCGACTGCTTCTTCTCTTTTTGCTCTAGTTTTGGCAAATTTAGGTGAATGAATTGCTTAGGGTAGGTTCTGATTAAGTTACTAGGCTTAAATTAATCAAAACTACGTAGTTTAGGGGTTAAATGACGTAGTTTAGATGTCCAACGCATAGGGGAAAAGAACAAAACGACCTTAGCTTAAAAGTTGTTAGGGCCAACGACGGGCATGACCAACGGACCATGGATGGACCTACGGTTCGTCCTGTCATCTCATTGTTTGGCGTTTGGGAGCTGAAGGCTTGGGGGTCTAAACCACGTACCGTGGTCCCAACTAGGGTCCGTAGGTTCGGCCATAGGTCAAGGTTTTTCTGGGGAGTTATGGGTGGCCAACTACGGACCCTTCTTACGGTCCGTGGTTCAGACCACGGGCCGTGGTTTGGCCTCGTCGATGGCACTACAACTTCTGAAATTCTACATATTTGGTCTTTCTCAAATCCGCGGTGTTACATTATCTCCCTCTTAGGAACATTCATCCTTGAATGAAGTCTAAACTAGGTGAGTATAGAGGGAAGGAGCAGCAATCCCTACCACTAAGTACTAGAAACTGAAATCTGACTGAACTGAGTTCCAAGAACATGCAAATATGCTGAAAATGCAAGAACAACTGAAGAAACATGATACTAAGACCGAATTTATGCAAGAGTAAACTGAGAGACTGGAGAGGACTATTACCTCAAGCTGAAACGGAATTGGAAGGAAAAAGATGAGGATACTTGGCCTTCATGACTGCTTTTCCTTCCCAAAGTAGTTCCCTCTACGGACTGACTCCTCCACAAAACCTTCACTGAAGCTACTTCTTTATTTCCCAACCTACGAACCTAAAGGTCAAGAATCTCAACTGGTACCTCCTCATATGTGAGACTATCCTTCACAACCACACTCTCTAATGGTACTATCGATGTTGGATCACCCATACACTTCTTAAACAAGGAAATGTGAAAGATTGGATGGACTGCTGCTAGTTCTGTTGGCAACTCTAACTCATAAACCACATTTCCAACCCTTTTCAGGATTTTGTAAGGACCTACATATCTCGGACTAAGCTTCCCTTTCTTTCCAAATCTCATCACCCCTTCATAGGTGACACTTTCAGGAAAACCCAATCATTTAATTCAAACTCTAATTCCCTTCTCCTTACATCTGCATAGGACTTCTGTCTTAAATCTATCTCTGATGAGTTGAACTTTTTCCATAGCATTATGAACCGAATCTGGCCCAAATCATGGCTGCTCACCTACTCATCCACCTTAGGAACACATAAGCTATCATCTCCCCCTTGGGAGAAAAACTCTACTTTCTGCTGATGAACTGCACCTTCCAACTGGAGTAACATAGGATCACCGTCTTGTTTTTCCTTAACCTCCGCTACCAATAAAGATTCCGATCTATTCTGAACTATCACACCGCCATCTGACATGTCCGTAAGACCAACTCCTAAGCGAGTAAGCCAGTGAACATCTTTTGCTAATTCCTTCCCTTTTTCCTCAACACGTGCTAGCTACACTACCCTTTAAATATCATCTTTCTGGCCTTAAGGTAAAATATAAATCGACCTATAGGCACTAAGCTACTACCCTTCCATTCTAAGACTGGCTCGTTTGGAAAATGAAATCGAATGATCTTAGTTCTACAATCGATTGAAGGATAATCAGGAATGTAACCAATCCATGCCTAGATTGATATCTAAATCTACCATTTCTAACTCTACAAGATTTGCTAAGGTGACTTTCTGAGAGACTGAGACAGGACAATTTGTGTATACCCATCTAGCTATAGCTGGGGCACCAATTGGAGTAGAGACTGAGAAGGGTTCTGAGAGAGTTTCTGGAGTGACACCAAAGATTATCGCTATATAAGGAGTTACAAAAGACAAAGTAGCCCCTGGATCTAGTAAAGCATAAACATCTAAGTGAAAGACTCGCAACGTACCAATGACCACATCAGGAGAATCTTCCTGATCCTGGCGAGCCTGGAGAGCATACAACCTATTCTGGTGTTGACCGCCACTTGTACCAGATGAAGTACCCTGCTGAGAGGGGCAACCTGCTAGTGCTCCCTATTGTTGTTACCTCATTGCCCCTACCTGGCAGAAGGGCAATCCCTCAACCTATGGCCAGACTGACCACACCCAAAGAACCCTTCCTTGCCTGCAAGACACTCACCCGGATGGTTCCTACCACACTTTGGACAAGTTGGGTAAGTCCTATTACCTGAAGCACTCCCTTGAGACTTAAAGCCTAATGCTCTACCCTTCTGATCCTATCGAAACCTGGGGGATGAAGCACTAGCCGATGAAGGTGCTAGGGCTATAGACCTATGTTAATACTGTAAGCAATTTCCACGAACCGATTTCTATTGAGAGTACAAATAGTTGCATGTTCTAGACTTCTTGTTGTCCTTAGCCATTTCCCTAAGCTTAGCTCCCTCAACCTGCTCAGCATGAGTCATAAGCCTAAAGATATTCATATCTTCTATATACATAGCATTCCTACACTCTGTTTTCACCAAGTCGGATACCCCAAACAGAAACTTACTCATTTGTGCCCTCGAATCAGCAACCATGTGTAGAGCATACCTAAAGAGTTGAGTGAACTTCAACCCGTACTTTTGGAATGACATTGTACCTTGTCTCAAATTCATAAACTCCTGAGCTTTAGCCTCTCTCAACACCCTCGGGAAGAACGTGTCCAGAAAAGCTCCAGTAAAACACTCTCAAGTAATAGGAGTTGTATCTGTACCCCTATTTTCTTTCCATTGAGTGAACCAAATGTGAGCCATATCCTTAAGCTGATAGGATGTCAACTCTACCCTATCAAAACCAGTTACTTACATTACTCCAAAGATTTTCTTAACCTCATCAACGAAATTGTGTGGGTCCTAACCAACCTGCGACACTAGAAACTCTAGCGGATTCATCCGAATAAAATCTCGAACCTTGGTTGTTGCTGACCCATTATTAACATTAGTAGGAACTCGAGTATGCTAATTTTTCTAATTGGTCACACTCTGAGCCAAAAGCTGGATAATATTCTGAAACTCTGCATTTGAAACCTCATGGTATGGAACTGGAGGAACTGTGTTAGCTTTGCAGGCATTAGCATTCCTTGCGTAAGCTTTACGAGGAGGCATGATATGAAATGCATAATGATGAATTAGAAAGAAGATCATACCTACGCACGATAAGAATAGAAAGAAAGTGAAAATTTTCCTAAAACACTTTGTAGTCTCCCTCTCATTAGATGTGGTGCACTTCACACTAATGAAAGAGACTCTACTTAGTGCGGCTTTTCATACATCCAAGGACTATTAAACCTAATGCTCTAATACCAAGTTTTTCATGCCCCGAGGCTATCCCCTTGACGTAAACGCAAGACCTAGGATCACGAGTGACCCCAAGCGCTGGCATATCATAAGCATACTAAAAGATAACTAAATAAAAGATACTATGCGGAAGCTAAAACAATAGATAACTGAATGGTGGGGAATACCCAATACTGATTTGATTATATATAAAGTACTAAGAGTTTAGTGATACTGAACAATCACTCAAAAACTAAAGCTGGATCTAATACTATGTCTGAAAAAGCCTCTAACTGACTAGAGTTGTTGGGACATGCCCCAGCTAACCCTAGAAAAATTGAAAACAAAAATGAAAGACTGAATCTGAAAAGCATGTCTATTGTCCTCGAAGTATGAGGACTCACCACTGAAGTTGCATAGTACGAATTGGGAACCGATCTATTCGTGATCTGGATGCTGAGTACCTGAACCATCATAAAAGGATGTAGCGCAAAGTATGTGTCAATACTTGGAATGTACTGAGCATGCATGATATAGAATATAGTTGAGCAAACATATAAACTGAACAAAGCGTAATTGAGGAATGATATAATTGAATATGAATGTAAATACTACAATATACTGAAAAGCTGAACTGAATTCAATGACCAAGTACTAAATGATGAATATGTCATGCTTACTAAATACCGAAGTATAAACTAAAATCATGGTCAAATGCACTAAAGTCTGACTGTGGGAGCTACTAATAACCGACATAAAACCATGTGAGCTAAACATGGAGTCTGATGTATACGCCTCATCGAGAGGACCCAATATACTTTGCTAGTGGTATAAAGGCATAACTGACGTGATCACTAAATCTGATGCCCAACGGAGGGCACTTATAACCTACGGAGGCACGTAGTTCTGGGACTATGAGGGTACGCTGAACCCTAGTCCAACTCGGTGCTAAGCATACTCCCAACTGGAGTGTGTATGACACAACTTAACTGAAATATTAGATTAGCTCAATATTTTGACATGCTAACTGAGAATGCAACATTTATGTACTGATAATGAAACATTGAAAATCTGAGGCATGTATATATCTGTTTATATGACCTAACTAGTGTAATTCATGAACTAAACGAATCTACACAACTAGGGTTATGAGTTTCATGCAAGGAACTAAGTAATGATTCCACGAAAACTTGATAATCAGATTAAGAATACTATAATAGCTAAATCACAACCTATTTCTAAGGTTTTAGAAACCCTAGGTCTAAGCAAGATATAATGAATCAAGAATCTAACTGAATTCTAGGGACCTAGTGGATGAAAGGAACCCACTAGTGAAATCCCACATACCTGGTGATGAAATCTACGAAGAAATCCTTTGATTTTGGGGCTGGAACTGAAAAAAACTTGATGCGTTCTTGAAGAAGGATTGGTTGAATGCTTCTTCTCTTTTTTCTCTAGCCTTTGCGAATTTAGGTGAATGAATCGCTTAGGGTAGGTTCTGATTAAGTTACTAGGCTTAAACTCATCAAAACTACATAGTTTAGGGGTTAAATGGCATAGTTTAGATGTCCAACACATAGGGGAAAAGACCAAAATGACCTTAGCTTAAAAGCTTTTGGGGCCAACGACGGACATGACTCGTTGTTTGGCATCTGGGAGCTGAAGGCTGGGGGTTCGAACCACAGACCGTGGTCCACCTCTGGTCTGTAGGTCCGGCCGTAGGTTGAGGTTTTTCTTGGGAGGTCTAGGTTGCCAGACACCGACCCTACCTACGATCCGTGGTTCAGACCACGAGCCGTGGTTTGGCCTCGTCGGTGGAACCTGCAACTTCTGAAATTCTAATTTTTTGTTATTTCTCGAATTCAATATGTTTCATTAGATACATATTGTATCGGGTGAATACAAATTGATACGTACAAGCTAATACATACATATTATAATTTGTAATAATTCACTCTTCAATTGTTTGTATTCATTTGCGCTATAAAAATATAACTGATACAAGTATCTTCTCATTCATTCCCTCTGATTATGAAAACTATGGGCTCTCAAGCAGCTAATCCCCGCCAACAATGGTGAAATCAAAGAAAACCAGTTGTTCTATGACACTGTTGATTACATTGTTCTCCTTAGAATTCAAGTCTTCGTTTTATAGAAACTAGTCGATGACTAGAATCAAGATAACCAAAATTATGTATAACACAATAGTTTTTACAGAACAAATTATTGTGAGAGAGGGAGAGAGGGGGGGAGAGAGGTGAGCGATAAAGAGAGAGAGATAGAGGAGATGTTCTCTATAAAATGGTAATTATTGTTGTGTTTTGTAAATTATTAAAAGTATTGCTAGGTTGTGAAGATATAGTAGCCATCTTTGCTTATATAGAAATAATTTCAACTATAAGTCAACCCGTCATTTGAAGGGCAACCTATGTTTTTAAACTGTCACGCCCCGAGCCTATGCCATAGACGTGGCTGACACTCGAGAATCATTTCTGATCCCCAAGAGAACCCTTGACCTGACTGAATGTTTAACAAAAGACTTACTCAAGAATAAGAAATATTTAAAATAGAACTTATAACTATCAAACTTAAGTAAATACTTAACTCAACTATCTGAAAATACTTATGTGCAATAATAATAATAGTTTGCAAAACAATCTCAAAACATCTCAAACAAAAGGGAAATACTGAGACTCATCAACTCTAACTATCTATGAAGCCTCTAATACTAGGATAGAAGTCGGGACAATACCCACGACAACTCAACAATAACATGAAAGTAAATTGTGAAATCCTCCGGAAGGCAAGGAGGCTCGCCAAAGCTGTCTGAAGCGCAAAGCGATCTCAACGAATCGCCTGTTGTTGAATCTTGAACACTTGTATTTGCATCATAAAAGATGCAGGTCGAATGACATCAGTATATTGAATGTACGAGTATGTAATATAGTTGAATAGAAAACACCTGAATGATAGGACTACAATAGTTATAGATATATACTTGACTAAATGTAAATAAATAAGGAAGTGAAATCATTAAAACTTTACAAAAATACTTTCTCATTTTCTGAACTTTAACATAAAAAAGTGATATATAAAAAAATACTTTAACTCTATTGGGAGATTCTCTAACCGACAACCATCACTATGAGCTAAGTGATGATACAACGTCTTGTCCACACTGCCAGAACTGTTCTATATCGTTCCGGGATATAGAACACCTCAACTTAGTGGATCCATTAAGCTATGCTTGAAGGCTCTAAGGATTCATCTAAAAAGTATGATCCAGTACCCATGTTGGCAAGACATGATTTATGGGGGCTGTGATTTGTCTCAACTCTCCCCATATCGGTACTCAATACTACTCCCATGTATAAAAACATTACTCTTCCTCTTGTTTGAGATAATTACTCAACTATCCTCTTAAAGGAGACAAATGCTCTGAATTAACTGTGAACTCGTTACTCGTTTGGCAATCAAAGTTTCTCTTTTCTCACTGTAAAAATGATAAATTTGGGAGTCAATAATTCCCTTAAGCTTTACTCAAAATGCCTCTTTAAACTTTCCTCAAAAACTACTTTTTACTTTATGAGAAAATCAATTTAAAATCAATAACTTAGTGAATACTTCAAATAATAAGGTTCATGATGAAAAATAGGCATGAATAATCAACTTCAAGAGTCTCAATACATAATATATAGCAACTCGAAAATTAGGAATAACAACTCAGAATTCAACACCGAACTCATCTCAAGAATCATCAAAACTAAGGATGTAACCCTAGAATATTCTTTACTGATAGAAAGTAGATGTAGGGCGTGAGGACGAACTCAGTCCATCACTATGATAGCCTTACATACCTGGGAAGAACAGAGTTCTTGGTGAAATCGATGAAATTTGAAGAACGATAGAAAACCCTAGCTTTTCTCCTCTTGAATCCTTGCTCTAAGTCTATGAAGTGTTAAAGAATGTAAAATAATGTTTTAACACTATTTAGACCCTAATTAGGTGGGGAAAAAATTTGTGGGTTAGGCTTAGAGAGGGTGGAAAAAGTCTGAACTACCCCTCTTTAAAAGCTGTCAAAAACTATCCACGGGACCATCTACGGGTTGTGGTTTGACCCACGGATCGTAGATCCCATCTGTGGATTTTATATTGAGTTTTCAAGGCTTAAGAGTCCATTTACGGGTCCGAACGACGGTCAAAAGGTCCACCTACTTTCCGTCGGTTGGATCCATAAGATTTGGGTCCCAAAAGGTTACCCCAGTACTCTAACGATGGCCTAACAGGACGGGTCATCATTCAACCCATCGCCCATCGGTTCGGGCCATCGTTCACAGACTTAGAAAACTCTAGTTTGACAGTCTTTGGTAAAATGGTCAATAACTTTTTACTCCAAACATGATTGAGGCAAACTGAGTGACGTTTAAAAGAGGATTCAAAGACCTTTAATTTGGTAAGTGATAAGCCACCTAGTTAATTATGTGTTGGGAGATATGATCTTTTGAAGTTGATCTAAGTAGGAACTTATGTCAAAACTTAAACGAAAATGAAGATTTCAACTCAACTTTGTGCTAGGGGTTCTTGTGACCTTAAGTCATATCCAAATCCATTCGAACACCAAAGAAATGACATTTACACATATGAGTAATTTAAGGATCACCCGATTCAATTTTACAGGCAATTAAAGAATGGTTCGGGCCTTAGCTTAGAAATTTTTGGGGTGTTACAATATCTCACCCTTGGAATCATTCGTCCTCGAATGATGGATGAACTGAGCATGGAAAGGGTAGGGAAATGTTTAACAACCCTAAATTTGTGCAACATACCCATTAAAACTAACGAACTCAAAATAATGAAAGAGGGACTGAATTGAATAAGTACTTTAGGAAAAGTTAATACCTTGGACTGGAACTAACTCGGAAGAAAGGAGATGAAGGTATCTCTTCTTCATATCTTCCTCGGCCTCCCATATAGCCTGCTTAACAAACTTAGTTCGCCACAAGACTTTGACTGATGCAACCTCCTTGGTTCTCAACTTGCGAATCTGGCGATCAAGAATCTGGACTAGAATCTCTACATAAGATAGATTGTCCCTGATACCAATATTCTCGACAGGCACAATAAGTGAAGGATCGCCCAAACACTTCTTTAGCATAGAGATATGAAATACCGGACGGATTGCTGCCAACTCTGATGGTAGCTCCAACTCATAAGCCACATTGCCAACTCTCTATGTATCAAGGACTGATCTTTCCCTTCTTACCAAATCTCATAACACCCTTCATAGGTGAAACCTTCAAATAGACCCAATCATTAACCTCAAACTCCAAATCTCTTCTCCTAACATCTGTATAGGATTTCTCTATGTTGTTCTCAGCCTCCCTTGGATTATTTTAACCTTCTCCATGGATTGATGAACTAAGTCTGTACCTATCAACTCAGCTTCACCAACCTCAAATGAACCAATAGGAGACCTACACCTTCGCTCATAAAGAGCCTCATAAGGAGCCATATGAATACTGGAGTGATAGTTATTATTGTATGCAAAATCTATAAAAGGCAAGTGGTCATCCCAATTCCCTTTGAAATCCAATACACATGCTCTCAACATATCCTCTAATGCCTGAATAGTGCGCTCCGCTTGACCATAAGATGAAAAGCAGTACTAAATTTTACCTTCAAACCCAAACCTTTCTGAAATGACTTCTAAAACTAACCGGTGAACTACGCGTCCCTATATGAAATGATGGACAAAGGGACTCCGTAAAGTCGGACTATCTCACAGATGTATAAACTTGCATAATCTTCTGCTGAATTGGTAGTCTTTATCAGCAAGAAATGGGCTGATTTAGTCATCCGATCTACAATCACTCAAATCAAATCATGTTGCTTGCGAGATCACGACAAACCAGTAATGAAGTCCATATTAATCATCTCCCACTTCCATTCCAGAAGAGCTATATTCTAAGCCACACCATATGGCCTTTGGTGTTCTACCTTGACTTGCTGGCAATTTGGGCACTTAGCTACAAAATTTTCAATGCACCTCTTCATACTATTCCACAAATAGACTTCTCTCAAGTCATGATACATCTTTGTGGAACCTAGATGGATCGAATATCTCGAGCTATGAGCTTCTTTCATGATCCTCTCTTGGAGCTCATCCACCTTTGGAACACACAATCTACCTTGATATCTCAACACACCATCTCCCCCTTGTTCAAAAGTCATCACCTTCTGCTCATGAACATTTGCCTTTAGTTCAAGTAAGACGGGGTCTTTGACTTGTTTCTCTTTCACTTCTGACACTAACATCCGCACTCATCACAACAACTCCACCTTCATTGGAATCCAATAAACAGACTCCCAAATGTGCAAGTCTGTGAACTTCCTTTGCCAATTCTTTCTTGCCTTCCTTAACATGAGCAGTACTCCCCATGGACAACCTGCTCATAGCATCAACAACAACATTAGTCTTACTTGGGTTATAGAAGATACACATGTCGTAATCCTTGAGCAACTCTAACCACCTCCTTTGTCTGAGATTAAGTTCCTTCTGACTGAAAACATACTGGAGACTTTTGTGGTCTGTGAACACATCCACATCAACACCATAGAGGTAGTGGCACCATATCTTGAGAGTAAAAACTACTGCTCCAACTCGAGATCATGAGTCGAGTAGTTCCTCTCGTGAATCTTAAGTTGCCTGGAGGCATAAGCTATAACCTTACCTTTCTGCATCAACACACAACCAATCCCCACTCTGGAGGAATCAAAACAGACGACAAACCTTCTGTACCCTTTGGTAGGGTCAACACTAGAGTAGTAGTTAACCGAGTTTTCAATTTCTGAAAGCTTTTCTCACAAGCTTTAGACCATTGAAACTTTGATGTTTTCTGAGTCAACTTAGTCAACGGGGATGAAATAGATAAAAACGCCTCGACAAACCTTCTGTAGTAACCAGCCAATCCCAAGAAACTCATTATGTCAGTTAGAGACGTGGGTCAGGGCCAATTCTGCACTGCTTCAATCTTCTGAGTGTCAACTCGAATTCATTCACCCAGACATAATATGGCCTAAGAACGCCATAGATTCAAGTTAGAACTCACTCTTAGAAAACTTGGCATATAACTCTCGATCTTTGAGAGTTTGAAGGACTACTCTGAGATGATTGTCATGATCATCCTCATTCCTCGAGTAGATCAAGATGTCATCGATGAATACAATAACAAACATATACATATATTTCTTAAATACTATGTTCATGAGATCCATGAATGCTGAAGGACCGTTAATTAAACCAAAGGACATAACAAGGAACTCATAATGACCATAACTTCTAAATGCTGTCTTCGGGATGTCACTTTCTCTCACTTTCAACTGATGATAGCCAGATTTGAGGTCTTAGTGAAGTTGGTCGAAAAGGTTATCAATTCTCGGAAGGGGTTATTTATTCTTTATGGTGACCTTGTTCAACTGGCGGTAATCAACACATATCGTAAATGAACCATCTTTCTTTCTCAGGAGTAAGACCGGAGCGCCCCAAGGTGAGACATTCGGTCAGATGAAACCCTTATAAAAAAGATCTCTCAATTGCTTTTTTAACTCTTTTAACTCAGCTGGAGCCATTCTATATGGCGGAATGGAAATGGGTTGAGTATCAAAAAGGATATATATTCTGAAGCCTATTTCTCTCTCTGGAGGGACTCCGGGAAGATCGTCTTGAAAGACCTCTAGAAACTCACTCACAACTGGAACTGACTGAATAGACGGTGTCTCAACACTAGAGTCATTAACTCGGACTAAGTGATAAATGCACCCCTTAGAGAGTAACTTTCTTGCCTTAAGGTATGAAATGAAACGACTCTTAGGCATTGCTGAACTACTCCTCCACTCTAAGAGTGGCTCATAAAGACTCACAAAAGACAAAAATGCCCCTGGATCAAGTAAGATATACACATCGATAGAAAATAATTTAAGCATACTAGTGACAACATCTGGTGAGTTCTCCTGATCCTGGCGACTAGCCATAACATGCAGACGATTTGCTCCTCCGCATGTCCCTGAACTAACTCCTCTCGGAGCGATTCCGTCTGCTGGAGCCACTGAAGAAGATTGGGCTTTGTTGCCCCCATTACCCTACCTGTTCTTTGGGCACTCTCTCATGAAATGACCCATTTGACCACACTTGAAGCAGTCATTGGAGCCATCACGACATTCTCCTGGATGGGTTCTGCCACACTTAGCAAAAGGTTGGCTCTGAAACCCCTTTTCTACACTACCCTGCGACTGAGTACCCTAAGCTCTGAAATTCTAAGAACTTTGATTCATGTGATCATTCCTATTTCTTGGTGCAGGTGCACTAGCTAATGATGGAGCGGGTCTAGATGACCTTTGCTAAAAGGATGACCGATGCCCATTACCAGTCTTTTGCTCGCCAGACTCATGATTTGCTATCTTAGCCTTCTTGCTACAGAATTCTTCCCTATCTTTCAACTTGTCCTCCTCTACCTGTTGCACATGAATCATAAGCCTAGCTATGTCCATGTCCCTTATCAACATAGTTGTTCTCCCCTCTTTATTAGATAAACGGGATAGCCCAGACACAAACAAACTCATTATATTTCTCATATCAGCCACCATCTTCGGAGCATAGCAGGAAAGTTGAGTGAACTTGAGGTTGTACTCTTGCACACTCATAGACTCCTGGTAAGAAACTCTCTTACCTTTGCTTCCCTTAGATCTCGGGGAAACAAGCGCCCCATGAAAGCATCTTCAAACACAGTCCAACTCAAAAGTGGTGCTTCATCTGCCCTGTTCTTCTTCCACTGATCATACCATATCCTAGCGACACCTTTGAGCTGATAAGAAGCCAACTCCACACGCTCTATATCAGCAACACGTATGACCTCACACATTTTTTGAAGTTCTTCCACTAAGTTCTTCGGATCCTCAGTGACCTTCGACCCTCTGCACTCTTGAGGATTCTTACTCAAACACTCACGGATCCTAGATGTATCAGCCACATCCTGATGACCTACTACTTGTTGACCAAAACTGCAACAACCTGAGTCAACATCTGAATAACATTCTTAAACTCAACATTGGTTACATCACCTTGAGGGGGTTGCACTTCTGGTGCATTGGGAGCTTTTTGACCTTGAGGATTAGCATTCCTCATAGAAGGACGTCCTCGCAGAGCTCTTTGTAGAGGCATGATCTGAAAAGACACGAGTAATCACGAGTTAGAGGAAACTTTTGTAGAGTTGAACTCTATCGCACTGACAGGAGTATGAAGAAAGTGAAATGTTCTTAAATGTTGTTGCCTCCCAATTATAGATGTGTGCGCGCTTCACACTGATAACCATGACTCTACATACACAGCTTCATAAAAACCCTAGGACTCTTGAACTCTGTGCTCTAATACCAAGTTTGTCACACCCCGAGCCTATACCCAGACGTGACCGGCACTCAAGAACCATTTCTGCTCTCCAGCCGAACCCTTGGCATGACTGAGTGTTTAGCAGAAGACTTACTCAAGCATAAGAAAGCTTTAAAATAGAACATATAACATTCAAACTCAAGTAAATACTTAACTCAACCGTCTGAAAATACTTCAGTGCAATAATTATAATACTTTGCACAACAATCTCAAAATATCTCAAACAAAAGGGAAATACTGAGAGACTCATCAACTTTAACTATCTATGAAGCCTTTAATACTAGGATAGAAGTCGGAACAAGACCCAAGACAACTCATCAATAACATGAAAGTAAATAGTGAAATCTTCTGGAAGGCAAGGAGGCTCACCAAAGTTGTTTGTAGCGCAAAGTGATCTCAACAAATCGCCTGTTGATAATCCTGAACACTTGTATTTGCATCATAAAAGATGCAGGTCGAATGACATCAGTACATTGAATGTACGAGTATGTAATATAGTTGAATAACAAACACAGAATGAAAGGACTACAATATATATAGATATATACTCGACTGAATGTAAAGAAATAAGGAAGTGAAATCATTAAAACTTTACAAAAATACTTTCTCATTCTCTGAACTTTAATATAATAAGTGATATATAAAAAACATTTTAACTCTATTGGGAGATTCTTTATCTGACAACCATCACTATAAGCTAAGTGATGATAGAATGTTTTGTCCACGCTGCCAGAACTATCCTAAATCGTTCCGGAATATAGAACATCTCAACTAAGTGGATCCATTAAGTTATGTCTGAAAGCTCTAAGGATTCATCTAAAAAGTATGATCCAGTACCCATGTTGGCAAGACATGATTTATAGGGGTTGTGAGTTGTCTCAACTCTCCCTTATATCGGTACTCAATACTACTCCCAATAATAATTACCTTTGCTCATGTATTAAAACATTACTCTTCCTTTGGTTTGAGATAATTGCTCAACTATCCTTTTAAAAGAGGCAATTGCTCTGAATTAACTATGAACTCATGTTTAGAAATCAAAGTTTATCTTTTCTCACTGTAAAAATGAT